ATTTTAAGAATGCATTGTAACTCATTCAAGTTGTTTCCTGACTTTAATCCCCAACAGGACACGCAAATCTCCTGTATTACACAACATGCTTGTGTACATAAAAAAAAACAACTGCCAAATCATTATGGTAAGTGTATTTTTTCTGGGACAAATAAGAAATAACTTAATGTAAATCAAAGTCCTTTTATGGGCTATCTTACTAGAATCTGCTTTTAATACCAAGAATGAGGAACATGCATGAATATCTTGACAGGCAGCAGCGTAGAAGAATTCAAAGGACAGCAAGACCGTCTTAGGTAGGAATTCTGGAATAAACAACAAATATGCACCTTCATTAGCGCCGCCGCCGCCTTGAGACTCATGACGGCGACAGATTCTCGCTTGCGTCGTCGTGGGAGACGATTGAGGGCGGAGCGGGAGCTGGAAAATGAGCAGAGGGAAGCTGTGCCGGGCGTCATGGGAGTTTGCAGGGCGCTCAAGCCGTCTACTTCTTCCACATTGCGGAAGGCACGACCCCGAGCCAGGGGGTCCACGATCTGCACACAAACACAACGCGTCACACAAGTGTGTCGGTTCACCACAACCTTTTTCTTTTAAGCTCGATTGACACGACAGAACAGAAGAGGCAACAGGGACGCACATACACATCGATATTAGGGTTAAATTGATGTAAAAGTAGATTTTACTTCACATGTGCTTTATGTTTTACGTCTGATATTATCTTTTATACTAAAATTAAGGGCAAAGTTTCAGATAAATTTGCTAAACCAAGGGCTTTTTAGGCTACTAGCACTACGCTGACATGCTATTAGCTACACAGAATTCACAATGAAAGGAGTACAGAATTATTAGCAGAAGATTATTAGCATTATTTTGCAGTTTTAACTTGGGACTGATGCTTTCTAAAGCGACGGCTCAAAGTTTTGCAGTTTTAACTTGGGGCTGATGATATTAACCCTGGTAATTTTTCTTTTTTTCTGAAATAATTATATTTTTCTGTGACAACAGAAATAATTGATGCTTTCTAAAGAAGTCTAATGTGTTTAAAAATGCTACTTGGAAAAACCATGAGAAAAACGTACAATTTCATAGGGTGGCAATTAATTCTGCCGTCATCTGTAACTGTATAATTAATATCAGTGCTGCACTCATTATTGTGACTTTCAGTGGCTTGTTGTTTTTGCGGTTAGTCAAACAAATCGTCAATAAAACGTTCTTTCTCTGTTAAGACCCCATCAATTGAACCCTACGAAAGCGGACAAAGCAAGGCGCTAAAGCGACCCCGATTTTCAAGATGTGACATGAAGAACAGGAGGAGAGAGGTGGGGGAGAAATGTGACGAAAGAAAAGGTGCCCATCTACGTCTCCATCCCTCTAACATGCTCCCCCCCCCACATTGGCGCAGGCCTACCCTCTGCATGCCATAGTGGTGATGACTGGGGTGGAGGGGTGGGAGGTAGAGGGGAGGAGGGGTCTCAGTGCTGGCAAGGGAGAGATTGTCTTGGCTGTGAAGCTCCATCTCCCTCATCACCTGCGTCTTCAGACCCCCGTACAGATGACTGCAGTGCTGCAGGCTCTTCCTCCTCCATCGCTGGGTGCTGTCGCTGTCTTTACTCACCCCAAACCAGTCAGCCGTACCCCTGGGGGAGAGGACACACTCTGCTTAGTGAAAGCATATACTTTTTTTGATGTAGAGGTAGTGTGTCAGAAATGAATCAGGTTCATCTTGGCACAAGAACTTAATAATGAATCAGGATGAAATACGGGCCATGATTTTAAAAAGTCAAGAAAACAACACTTTTATATTATAACATCTAAGATGCTCTTCTTGTACTTTTATCTCTATCTAATGTGTGCAAGTTTGAACCCAGCTTTGAGAGCCTGGATGACATACACTGTCTTGTTTCCTTATATAATTTACAGCCCTCTGCTGGCAGAAAAGAAGCAGATGTTGCCTCATATTCCCAGAGTAGATGACACAATATGGGTCTTTGTTTATTACATTCAGTTCGATAAATGTGCATTCAGGTCCCCCTTTTTCCAAGAACTGTGTCCGCACATCAGGCTGCGTGTTAACCGATCAGTGGGAGGAGGGGGAGGCTGTTTAGAGAGCAGAACGTTTAGTAATAAACACTCAGCCCTCATCATCAAGAAAAACGCCAGCTGGGGAAGCCTTTTAAGGCTGCACAAGGACAGGGTGGGGGAGCCCTGATTACTGTCCCTCCAGAGAGGAATCTCTTAAAAAGAGGAAACAGGTTTGGAACAAAAACAAAACAACAGTAGGATTTAGACTGGATGCCTTGAGCAAGAACGGAGACGTAAACAGCGGGATTAGAGACAGAGAAATAAGGAGGACAGGAGACCCAGATTTGAAATTCTGAAAAACTTTTGCACAGTTACAAAATGTTTGTTTCCTTAAATGAAGCTAGCAATCACACAAACCTCATAAACAATATTAAATCCTGGTGGAACGACAAGGCCAAATTTCAGAAATGGGCTCATTTCAGGGTCGGTGACAGTTGTTTGTTTAGAAAAGCAGTTCTTTTTCTTTTTGGGCACACGCACGAGCAAGCGAGCACGTCTTTTTCTTTCTTTTCTTTTTCTTAGTCACCCACACAAAACGCGAACAAAACATTCAGACTGCTTGACGACAGCACGAGACAACCACACATTGCAGAAGATTAAAGCAGTTTTAACACGCGTGAATTAGTCTCCACATCCTCCAGGTAAGGCTGGTACACATGAAACAACAGTCGACGTAATTATGGGCTCACACGGCATTTTGGGCATCAGGGAGAAGAAACGGCAGAAGGGTAAAGCTTTGCACAATCCAAACAAACACTACACAAAAAATCCAGGTAGCTATCAAACAATTAGACTACTGCTGGTTCAGTTTGCACATGCCCAGTCTCATTCATTCATAGCCACATGTGGAGGCAGCAAGTGTAACCACTGATAAAATTACTATTAAAGTCAAAATAGACATTATTTTAAGAATGCATTGTAACTCATTCAAGTTGTTTTCATATGTACGACTTTATGTTGGTTTACATTTTTCCTATAATTTAATATTTACTTTTCAACTTTTATGTTTTCTAGAAACAATACGACTGAGTTTTTTTAACTACAAAGAACAACATTGTGCTGTGAGGTAGGTAAATGGTTCATCTGCCCTAGTCTGAGAAGTCCAAAGTCTCTCTCATGAGTTACATTTTCTAAAGCCTGAAAAACGTGTGCAGCACTCTAGTTCCCTCTAATACTTTTGAACCACAATATGCTGAAAGGTCATCTGGGATTTATTTGTCCATCCATTGAAAGCTGGTTGTCTACACCACTTTTTAAAAGGCCAGCATGTCAATGACGTAGTGTCTCATTTTGCCATTAAAGAGACAAAAAAAATATAGAAAATTACTCATAAAACTCATAAAAGTATGAACTTAACATTGACCTTGGTTCATAATTTGGATTAGTTGATGATTCTGTGCAAGTTTCACAAAAATCCTGTAGAGATTCTTGTGAACTGTGGATGGACGGACATAGAGACGGTCAAGTGTCTCGCAGTTGTATAAACTCGTTGGTCCTTCAGCTCAATGAGCCTAATAATGGCACCTTTAAATGTCACAAGTTAACAAGTTTAATCGTTTTTGTTTAACTTCCATAGACAGCTAAAAAAACAAAAATTATATGCTACCACTGAACAGAGCTGTTTCAGTGGCAGTGGGTTACGCTAGTAACCAATTATTATACACTTTGATTAGATCACAGTTAATCATCTCCTGGCTACAGTTTAATTTATATTTATCCCACATATATGACAGCTTTTATCAGTCTTCTTACTGAACTTCCTAAAGCAAAGCAAATAAGCCACTTTATCAGAACTATTCTCTTCAAAACTTCCAATTTTTAAAGAGATGGCATAAACCAGATGAGATCTACATGCTGGCAATCACAAACCCTTCCGTAAAACTCAACATATAAGACTGAAAGCAATTTAAAATGTGAGCTGCTAGTGACTCTAAATCCTGTAGTTAATTTTGAGAAAATCTTAATCCCCCTCAAAGACAGAACAAGTGCTTTGTTGAGAATTTTCACTGACTTTCCAAAGCATCTCATGCTGAGCCAGATGTTTTGCTCTGCTCCAGTTTGCCTCAGCTTACTCACCTGTCCTGAGATCTCCAAGAGGGCTTTAGGGTATGGCTCATTCCTGATTGGGCTGGGGACTCTGGAGCTGAGTGATCTCCATCGCCAGTACTGTCCCCGCTTAACCCCTGACCCCTAATAAACCTCAATCTGCCAAATACAAACTGATCCTTCACAAATCCCACATACAATGTTCCATAAGGGGATTTCCTGATATCCAGGCCAGCTCTACGTCAGCAAAGAGCGGAGGATCAGCACATGTCTGGAGTCTGCTGAACATCCCTTTCTTCTACAGTGCTCTCCTGGTTAATCAAAGTTTGAGAGAATCCAGTGCTAAACTCCTCAGTCAGTCGGGAGGCTGATGTCTACATCATGACGTGAAAAGAAATCCACAGAGAGCTTCCGATTTCATCCAGCTGGACTATATAACACACAATGAGTGGGTGGATCTTTGTTTTCTGAACTTGTGTCACCAGCACACACAGCCTAAATTTCCATACCCGACAAAGAGCGTTAATTTGTCTGGAGACGTCCCTCCTTAAGAGCTCACATGAAAGGATGTGACCTACTGGGCAAAAAAGACGGCGATGCTGGTCCTCGTCAAACTGAACATTTTCCCACATCAACAGCCCCCAACGATCTCTATCAGTGAGTCCCCTCTCCCTCTGCCTGCCTGAGTCTCTGCCTTGTTTTGCAGGAGTGAATGTAAACACCAGTTCTCCCTCTAACATACCACAGGAAATGGAACGTTAGAAGGAGGGAGAGAAGAAAGATCATCATTTGCATTAGGAGGGAGAAACGATGAAGGGAGTGCACCTTGGACATGCCTGGACATGACACATACACACATACTGTATATACACACACTACCGGAGAGGTTTATTTTCTCATCGCTCCAAGCTAAAACCCCAACGTGCTCTGCAGTTCAGAAACTCGCGTCAGCTTCTTTAAGGAAGTCAAACTGAGCATGTGAACTTGCGGTGAATGGCAAAGTTATCTACCGTTTAATTTTGTGGCCTCCTTAACATGAATAATGACCCGTAAAGAGCGCTCCGCTTGTCCTCCAGATAAACATCAGGGTGTCCTCCAAGATACCCCGCGAGCACACAACAAATCACACTCAGAGACGTGCTTTGTTTGAATAGTAAAGATTTAGCATGGATTCATGAACTCTTGCGGAGGAGAGACCTCAGCTAACCTCCACGAGTCACATACAATCGCATTAATTCTCTCACAAACATCAAACGCGTCCTGTGCTTCTTCCACAAATACAAATAAAAAGCTAATACATTTCTGCAAGATGAAATTAAGACATTAGGACACTCTCTTTTGAAGAGTATCTGCAGGTTTGAGTTGCGGCTCCGTCTTCAAACGTTTACATTCAATTTAATTCTGTTTAAGCAGCCGCTTTGAAGTGGTGTGACGCACATAAGATAGCCAGAATGAGCGTTTGTGTTATGTTGTCTCCTACAAACCACGTGGTCCTGTGTATGACCTGGACTGACACCAACAAACCCTCATAGCTGTGGCATGAAGCAAATGTGACCAATGAGTTTGAAAATCTTTTAAACCACGATGTCAACTGAAAACATAACAAAGACAACACATTAAATGCTGAAACTTGTACATCTTAATGGTTTTTTGGAAAAGAAGTTGGGACAGTAATGTGTTTTCCTTTGTGTTGCATGAAGTGTGAACCAAAGACGTCAGTAGTTTTAGTTTTGAAAAACACGTTTGCACAGTTATTGCTTGACACGCAGTTTCAGCCACTCAACGCTGTCATATTTAATAATGTATCAGTTACTGCAGGCAGGCCAGTTTAGTACTGTCATACAGTACTGAGCAAAACTCATGAGTCACCCCTCATTTCTTTATGTTTTGCTTCCAAGGAGACTGACTTTTCCTATCATTTTTTAAAGTGTTCTTCTCTGGGCTTTCTCAGGCTCATTCATTGGCTGCTTTCAGTCCCATCCTTGTATCTGACCATTTTCTGATGAATAATATTTTTGTTTGTAAAGCCACTTAACACTGACCTATGAATCATTCAAGCATAAAACAGGATGAATAGGATGAACCAGTGTTGTTTCTACACGTAACAGACAACTTAGCAGTAACCCATTGTAAACTGTATATTTGGACACTTACTAACAGCCTTCTAAGTCAGGAACACATAATTTGTTCCAGTTTCTTTGGCTGAATCAATGAAAAATGCCAAAAGTAAAACAGTTTTGAC